GGAGGGGAAGAATGAAGGGGAGTAAGTCGGAGGGGGAGACGAACCATGAGAGACGATGGACTCTGAAAAACAAACTGAGGGTTCTAGAGGGGAGGAGGGTGGGGGGATGGGTTAGCCTGGTGATGGGTATTAAAGAGGGCACATTCTGCGTGGAGCACTGGGTGTTATGCACAAACAATGAATCATGGAACACTACATCAAAAACTAATGATATAATGTATGGTGATTAACATAACAAAAAATTATTAAAAAATAAAAAAACGAAAAAAAAACTTTAATAGAAGCAAAGAAGAATTTGATGCGAGGGTGATGCAGTAAATGACCTTTTTTGAAGCCTCCTTAAAAAAAAAAGGAAAATGATCATTTCAAGATATTCAGGCACAATATGCTGCTCATCCTTAGTGGAGTAGGTCATACTAAGAGCTAAAAGAACTGCAAAAAAAATATTAAGCCTCACCCAGTAGTTTTATTACTAATAATATTACTAGAATGGTATAGGCACTATATTTATTATTATAATGACATATTCTTATTACTATTATTTTTATTGTTATTCTGAAGCTATCTCATGTATTTAGCAGGGTAAAGCTAATATGAAACGGTATCCATCAGGAACAAAAAATTAAAAAAGTCACTATTATATTCATCACAAAAAAAAAAACAAAAAAACCCCAAATATGTATAAGAGGGGTGATGCCATCTTTATCATGCCAGGATTTAAAATTCTATGGACAAGATAAAGACTGGGCTTTAGATACTGGGCATCCTGCCTATGGTTAGGCCTCTGAAGCTCCTAGCAGCCAGATTATCTAATATATCATAAAAGTGGTATGTACACATTTTTATTTATCTGACAGAGACAGAGCAAGAGAGGGAACATAATCAAGGGGAGTGGGAGAGGGAGAAGCAGGCTTCCCGCCGAGCAGGGAGCCCGCTGCGGGGCTCGATCCGAGGACCCTGGGATCATGACCTGAGCCGAAAGCAGATGCCCAACCAACTGAGACACCCAGGTGCCCCTTTTTTTTCTTCACTCACCTTCTCCCATCCTCACCCCACTAACTGTGTTGTGTCAAAAGTTTTAAATTTTCCTCTCCTTAGGGAGAACTGTCATAGACAGAAAAAAGATCTCTTCCAAGCCTGTGGAGGGGCAATGTCTATAGGACATCTTTTCTCTCCAGTGTTTAATTCTCCCTCTGTAATGGAATGAAGACCTATTTACTCCAAAATGGTTATTTTGGTACTGTTCCATTCCTATGGGTTATCAGATTTTATTATTATTTTTTTAATTTTTTTTTAAAGATTTTTATTTATTTATTTGAGAGAGAGAGAGAATGAGAGGCAGAGAGCACGAGAGGGAAGAGGGTCAGAGGGAGAAGCAGACTCCCTGCTGAGCAGGGAGTCCGATGTGGGACTCGATCCTGGGACTTCAGGATCATGACCTGAGCCGAAGGCAGTCGCTTAACCAACTGAGCCACCCAGGCGCCCCTGGGTTATCAGATTTTAAAGTCCCTTGGGCCAGAAATAAAACAGAACCACTTATCCCTTCTGCCTTCAGAAATACTATGGCGGGATGAGCCTTGTAAACTGAGGCAATGTTAACAAACAAAAACAGAAAGGAGATAACTTTTAAAACAATAATCTGCCTTTGATAAATCTTGTTTTATGTGATTAAAGAAATAAGGCATTTGACCTCTAGTCCTGTATCTATCCTGATTCCTGTCTTTCACCCTTCTCTGTTGTATGGAGGACTTTGGTACTTAGACTCTTGGATGCAATTAAAAGACAGTCTGGGTTGTCAAAAGGTCATTGGAACACCAGTCAAAGTAGTGAACACTGCACTAAATTCTTATACGTTTGTTTGTCATGGGACGAGGCTACCGTCAGGCAGTGAAAAACTAACTGCAGTCTTGAGCAGATGTAAATTTGAATAAATATGTGTATTTGTATGTAATTGTGATGGAAAGGTGTCATCAGGTGTCATCAGCATCTTTGCTTCCTCTGTTTGGGGAGTTGCTCAGGTAGAGATTAAACAAGGAATTCTGGAGGCACCAAGCTCGAGAGAGAAGACCTAGGTTCATTATCTTGGGGTCCTGCTACAAAGTCTCACAGGGCAGTCACTGTGTGTGTCAAATACATCCTAAGTGGTTCCCTGGGATATTGACAGGGTTACTTCTGTGGGTATTTTCCAAATACAAAATTCTCTCCTTAAAGAAAACACTTTTGAGCTGCAGTGATCAGAAATTCAGTATTGATAAAAAAATCTTCCTTGTTGTCAGTCATTCTGTCTGGATTAATCAAAATTGCTGAGTCCATTTATGAATGGCAGACTTTTAAAATTCTGATGCTCTTTTTCAATTCAATAATGCTGTCTCTGGATTTTCACAATTCTGCCTTCCCATAATCCCTGTCGTTATCATATGACATGCTTTCATGTAATACAGAAAGGAAAAGCTAAGAGAAGCTGCAATAAATTTTATTTTTCTTTTAAACAGAAGAAAGAAAAAAAGTGGGGTTACATTTTTATAAATATCTATAAATACTGAGCAATAAGCAAATTTTCCAAATAAATAAATAAATATTGCCACATGCTAAGGAACGTAGGAAATTGTGGGGACTACTCCGGCTCTGCCAAAGGAAGAACCCCTAATAAATGGTATTGCGTTTATAAGATTACAACCAGTTTTCTGCCAAAGTCCTTTTGGGATTTTACATCTAGTTATCAGTATGGGAGCTTCCAAAAGCTTTTAAACAGTATAATATCTCCAACAGGAAATGAAAACTATGGAGAAAATATTTGCCATGCATTGCTATATAGTTGTATACATAGTTTTAGTGTTTCAGAACAGGAACCAGACCTTCAAATTCAGCTTAAAACCATCAGGTGAAAACCGCTGTCCGATGTTTCATAAGTAAAAACAACGGATCGGTTTCTAAGGCTCGGGGCATGATGGCAGTGGGAAAAAACAAGGTGATGCAAAAAGCTGTTGTTGAAATGTACTTTGCTTGCTAGCATTCTGCTCTGTGGGCGGCCATCTAAACAGAGGTAGGAACATGGGACCCCCTCATAGAAAGACTCCAAGTCAGGTAGTAAGGCTAGGTAGAGGGAGGCTGAGCATCAGGCCCACCTGGCTGGTGCCTCAGCTGTTCGGTAAGTGAGGTTTGGTTTTCTTGGGACTGAATACTGTCTTCAGTAATGCCCCCAGAATTTGCAAGTGGACAAAGACCCAGACATGTCAGCCCGGGAGTGTTTAACTACCTCCATCGGTAGAGCAGTAAGGAGAACCAACAGCGTTGTCTTTGGGTAACTCCTATACTTTGGTCCCCTGATTATTGGACTTCTTTTCCTCTGAGTCCTTGATGCCACTTCACTAAGACAGAAGGACACAATCTGTCAGTCCACAGAAAACCAAACCCAGAGCAGTCCCATTGTCTCAAGACTCCTTCCCTGTGACAGTTATCCTGAATGTGGTACTACTCAGCCTGGAAGTAGGCTTCATCAAATGCCTCTGAGGGGAATTTGAATTTATTTCCATTTCCTAGCAGGGGAGATTTTCATGAGCCGATGCCAAAGCTCTTCCTCTGGCCAAATTCACTAAAGCCCAAGACAGGGCCCATAGACAGGGTTATACCATGGACCGCTTGGGAACAGGCAGAGTCATTCTTGGCCCTCCAGCTCTGGCTGCATAGAAGGGGAAAGAGCATGGCAAGGGGGGCCCACTCGGTAGGGAGGTTGAATTTTCTAGCTTGGTTTCTTGCCTTAATTGTCTGAGCATTCCAGGTCCGGTTTGACCAGCCTACTACCAGTCTTTCTGACAGCTCTTCTCCAGAGATGCTCAAGGAAGAGCGAAGCCTTGAGATTAGGACTTTTATCAGTTTGCCCAAGTCAGCTATTAATGCCCTAGTCAAGGTTGCAGACTCAGAGATGCCAACAGGGTCCAGGCAGGTGACACAAACGTAAGGAGCAGTGGAGACGCTACTGGTATTGGCTCTTCCCTTCACCTCGAAGTGGTGAACTCGTTAAGCCATTGCTTGGTTTTTAATGCTAGACTGATGAAGAAGAGAGGCATAGGGAAGAAAAACTGCCCCGGGTGGTTGGGGGAAGGGTGGTGGTCGCGGTGGGAATCCCTCTCTCCTTAATGAAGGCGAAACTTCTAGTTTATCTTTCTGGGCTTCAGAGTTCGGAAAGGTGGTATAGGTGGGGTGGGGAAGGCGGTGAAAGCGCCATGACTCAGGCCTCAAAGGTACATTCTCGGGGGACCTCCCGGTGAATGGGGAGAAGCCGCTAACTGCCCACTTCATCCCCACCTTCCCCTTCCCTGGACTGCGGAGGGCGCACGTCCCTCCGAAAAGCTCCGAAAAGTTTAGTTTTCTTCGGAAAGACTGCTGGGAAAGGACTCCTTTCTGGTTTCCCTAGATGAACTTGGGGAAGGGGCGGCACCTGTCCACGCCCATCCCCCCCGCGTGCGCGTTCACCCGGCTGCTTCTGAGCACCCCTAATGGGTCGCTGGCCACCACACTGTTGTCCTCGGCGCTCGGGAGCTCCTGGGAGCAGGAGGCCGGGGCGGGGGTCATGCGGGGCCTGGGCTTCAGCACGTTCAGGGGGTCGCGCTCCATATCCTCGGCACTGCGCGTGTGCCGCCGCGGCCTGGGGGTGTTGAAGTGGATGAGGGGGATCTCGTTCCTCCGGGACAGGAACTGGGAGTAGGGCGGCGGGTTGGTGCCCGGCAGGAAGGCTCTCTTGGCCTGGCCCAGGCTGACGAGGAATTGGTGCTGCGGGGAGTGGTACACGTCGTAGCCGTTTTCCAGCGTCCGCTGTCGGAACCTGCAGCTCTCCGGGCTGAAGAGGTGCTGAAAGGGAGAGCGGTGGGGTGAGCGCCTGGCGGACCCCCGGTCCCCGTGCCCCGGCCCCGACCCCCGCGCGACCCTCCGAGGTGGGGGTGGGGGTGCTGGGCCTGGCTTCGTCCTCCGGGACTCTATCAGGGGGGCGTCCTTAACATCTCGCCGCTCCCTTCTGCGGGGAGTGATCTCTGACCAGCGCTCTCCAAGTTGCCCAAGCAAGCAGCACGGTTGGGACTTGACCCCACAGCCCCCGCTCCCGCCAGGAGCCCCCCGCCGGCCCTGCACGGGGCTGGCTCAGCTCCGCTGGCCATGGCAGGCAGCACTTGTGTTCAGTTTCTGGAGGGACGGCTAACGTCAGGGGAACCCGGTTCTTCCCGCCTCTGCCTTTGGCTGGAAGTTGGCTTGGGTCTGTCTCCTTGCCTGGAGAAAGGAGGGGGGATGGGGTTTGTAGGGTCAGACATAATTGAGGGTACTCGCACTCAGAGATAATATCGTTTGGGATTTAGGGCCGGGAGCTCTGGCAATAGATGACTAGGTTTGAGCCCTCACTCTGCCACTAACTAGTACTGGGTTTTATTGAACAGCTGCTAGGACCTTCACAAGTTGTTTCAGTTAATCCTCAGACTCCACGGAGTGTTTTTACAGATGAGGACTATCTATATGCCTAAATGTGGTCAATAGAGATTTTAATTTAATGCCTATGTTTGTTCCATGGAGAGTTGTCTACTTGTGGCCAGGTGCTGTTGTAGGTGCTGGGACACGGCAGCAAGCTAAGCAGAAAGTCATTGCTGTCATGGTAGTTCCGGTGGGTCTGTCTGGGGGTAAGAGGCTCCTGAGATGAACAGTCCTACTATGGTAAGATCTCAAAATCCTTTGGAATATGCCTGCAACCTGTGGTTTGGGAAATCCTTTGCTTACCAATCTGAATGATGGGTGATTGGGGCAGAGATCATTCATGAGAGAGCTTTATTTTTTTAAATTTTTTAAACAAGATTTTATTTATTTATTTGTTGGAGAGAGAGAGAGGGAATGAGCACAAGCAGGGGGAGTGGCAAGCAGAGGGAGAGGGAGAAGCAGACTCCCTGCTGAGCAGGGAGCCTGATGCGGGACTCGATCCCAGGACTCTGGGATCATGACCTGAGCCAAAGGCAGGCGCCCAACTGACTGAGCCACCCAGGAGTCCCCATGAGAGATCTTTAACTGGAGGGCGATCCCTGCTTTTTCCAGGTGAGGAAACTGAAGTGGAGAGAAATGAGGGGACGAGCCCAAGGCCAAGAAGGTCTAGTAAAAGAATCAGGAAGACACTAATGGCTCTCATTAGAGGACTTACGTACAAGGTGTGTAGGTGTTGTGTAGATGGGTGCCCATAGGTGGTCAGACTAGAGGCTAAGAGCCCAGTCCCCAGAACCAGACTACCTGGGTTCAAACTCCAGCTGTATAAACCTGAGCATCTACTACTTAGATTGACTAAATCACTCCGTGAAAACATCATCAAGCACTGCCAATGGAATCTTTATAAGATTTTATGCTCTGGGGAAGAAATGAATTATCTTTAAATGGTGACCAGCTCAAAAAGGAAACTCACGGATCCAAAGATGTTGCCTCTGAAGTCCATACAGAGGTACCTCCTGCTCATCACACCTGTTATCACCACAAAGCCAGCATCCTCTGATCTGATCATCAGGGCACCTATGGAGAAAATCATCCAGGTCAAAAACTGGCTGCACATCCAATTCCTATGTTTGAGCGCTTCCTGAAAACCCACCCCCATGAAACCGCCCTTGATTGATTTTAAGGGCGCTGATGACTTCACTTTACCCTCCCTTGTACTTACTTCTTCAGCTTCATTTCTTCTGATTCTCCCCTCCAAACAACCCCCCCACCCCATCCCCCATTTGCCTCCTACTTCCTCCTCTTGTCGGTATAGAGCACTCTGAACTCCCAGCATTTTTTCTCCTGTGCTGGACATGTGTTTCCCTCTTGGCCTGCACTGTCTTTACTTCCCTGGTTGCCTGGCTAATACCTCTTAATACTTGTGGTGGTCATCATGTTCTCTCAAGCCTTCTGGGCTTATGCAATTCTTAAATCTACACCAAGATGTCCTTCAAGGATCCAGCTTGAGTATAGAGCCTGATGCTCCACCCAGGTATCTGTATGGTAGTCCGTGATCCATCACCCAACACCCATTATGCTGTTGAACTGTTTTTTGCAAGAACTGTTTTATGCAAGAACACTGTTAGAATTATCTTCTCCTCCCTTCTCTGCTTATCAAAGTCTCTCATCCTTCAAGGCCAGGCTCAGATGTGACTTTCTATGAAGACTTTCCTAATCTCCCTAATCAGAACAAATGCCCTCACCTTTATTACAGAGTGTGTTTCATTCACCTGGCCTAAACTAAGTTTACATTATCTAGTGCTTCCCCTAGAGTGAGCTACTTGGGAGCAGAGGGTTTATTTTTCTGTGTCGAATAGATACCACGGATGCACAGAATTTCTTCTTGGATCTTCATGGCTGCTCTTTGTCCCTTTCTCACTTGGTGGTGTCCCCTCCAGTGCAGTCCCTCATGGTCTTTCTGTGTCCCCACTCAACAACCAGTCTCCAACAAGGGCCTAAACCCCACACATAGTACCTACACTTTGAATAACTGATAACTGCCTGCCCTCGTGGGGACTTGCAATTTTATCAACTGCAGTGCATTGCCCCAAGGACTAGTTAAAGTCTAAAGCTTTCTGTTTTGTGGCAAGAGTATCATTCAGCAAGAGTTCCACCCCAAATGCTGTTTAATTACCTGACATTTTCTGCTAAAAATCATTTCTTTAAGTCTTTGGAGTCACTTGCATTTGCTTACCACAGAATTTCCATGTGCATCTCCTTTGGCCTCACAACCCCCTGGCAGGTGTTTGAATTTCTGTTCTAGAAATGTAGTATGGAGAGGTTGAAAACGCCCAGTATCTGTGCCCAGGAAGTGGGGGAGCCTCACGGGGTGACTTACACCTGGGTCTCCCCTCTTTACCCTGTGGAGGCTCAACTCAGAGACCTCTGAGGAGAGTAGCAGACAATACCTAGACTCTAGCAGAACTTCATATGGACTGAAATTGGAATGATGTGGGACAGAGGGAATGAGGGTAGGGGCAAGCCCAGAAAGAAGAGAAAACAAGAAGCCCGAGGAGAAACGTTAATTTGTTTCCAGGTTTAGCTAAGGGTTAGCCTTGAGGGAAGCTTCTGGAAGTGGGATGGGGTACAGGAGGTGCAGAGGATATTGAAATTGCCCCATAATGAGGTCTGTCTATGGGGTCTCAAATATGTGGCTAATTCTATGACAAGCCCTGAAAGAAACAAAGGAATGTGTAAAAAATAAGTTTTTGTCCTGATGAATTTTCAGTCTAACTGGGAAAAAATTACACACGGTCCCTGTTTTTGAGTGGTTGTGCTTTAGGTACTTTACAGATTTTAAATTCTCAAACAACTGTGATCTGGCTAATCTTATTAGTATTAACATGGGTAGTAGCAGCATTCCAATTTATGTGCAAAGGGAACTAAGGCAGGATTCAAACACAGGACAGCGACTGTAACATCCTCTTCCTACAACCCAGAAATTCACCTCCAGTAAAAGTCATCACCCACCTGAGGAGACAAAATCAAGTGCCAAGATGTATGTCGCAACCGGTGAGAACCCCAAGTCACGCTGCTCCTGAGCAGGTCTGGGAAGGGGCACTGAACCAGGAACCAGGGCACTTGGATTCTGGTCCCAGTTATGCGACTTCCTAACTCTGTAGCCTTGGGCAAGTCATTGTTCTAACCTCGGGTTCCTCAGCTGTGTATAGAGAATGACAGTAGCTGGCCTGCCAACTTTACAGGGTTCCGATCAGAATCAAAAGCAATCATGGTTGGAAAAGTGACTTTTTTCAAAAAGTGTTGAGCAAACGGAAGGCATTAGGTAGCATGTGCTGGCCTGCCGTTTATGACAAGCCCAGACTTTGGCAGCCACGCGGGCCTCGTGCTTGGGGTCAGTGTGGGCAGTGTGCGAGCCATGTGTGCTGCTGGGCCCCGGGGCCCGTCCCAGGAACAAACAGCCTGGAGGGGAAGAGCGAGCAGCTGCTACAGATGATGCACAGCCTTGAGTCAAACCAACAGGAGCCAACGAGAAAGTGCAGAAAATGGAAGAGACAGATTGCCTTCCCTTTGCCTGTGCGGAAGGCGTGTTTTCACAGGCAGGCGGGTTCTAGGGCAGAATCTGGCAGAAGGAAGGTACAACACTGGTTGCTGGAGCAACAACCTGCTGCAGCCAGGTGGGCTTAATGGACTGGCCTGTGATCCTGGAAGAAGCATGGGGTTGGGGTCAAGGTGTCCTCTAGGTGACCTCGAGCCGGTGTAGTTCTTTATCCTTTGTTTTTCATAGGTTGTGGAATCATTTACCTCGTTTGGTCCGCTTGAGGATGTAATGAGATAATATTTTTATCCATAATAAAAGCACTTTCTAAATGCTAGTAATTTTACTATTGCCACTTGCCTCCACTCTGCTATAAAAGTGGAAAATTATCGGGGCACCCGGGTGGCTCAGTTGGTTGAGTGTCCAACTCTTGATTTCGGCTGAGGTCATGATCTCAGGATCCTGGGATTCATGTTCAGAGGGGACTCTGCTTGAGGATTCTCTCCCTCTTCCTCTTCTTCCACCCCCCCCATGCTCTCTCTGTCTCTCTCTCAAATAAATAAATCAATCTTAAAAAAAAAAGGTAGAAAATTATTGGCTCTGTTCTATTCTCATGCTGGTAAATGATCAATGAGATGGTAGATGTAAAGTGCTTCGAGCTCCCCAAAAGAAAGATAATATTTTGCAAGATTAAAGAGTCCCAGGATAATTCAGCTTCAAGTAAAGAAAGCGCCAGTGGGGAAAATGGACGAAGGAAAAATATCAGGATCTTGGACATGGTCTTAACCATGGGTAATAAGCATCTCTTCTGCTGTTTCTATGAAGCAGGGGTGGTGGGGAGCGGGAGGGAGGCCTCCTTCAGAGTAGGATCAGAGACTGACGTCAGAGAGGCTCTCTGGAAGGGGGGTGGGATATAGGAGGTGCAGAGGATGTCGGTGATGTAAGTCCCAAGCGAGGTTGTAGAATCTTACAGGCAGGTAATGTTACAACTGACAACCCAAAGAAGGGTTGGGCACTCAACTATTAATCAAGAACTGACTAAAGCACAATGATCAAATGAACCATATTTCACCAAGAAATGTATAATTATTTAGGAGGGAAAAAACACTATACACCTTCCATCAAGTGTAAGCAAATCCTTCACCAGTCTGTGAATTACTTATGCTACTTACCCACATGCCTCGGTGTTTCCTCTTACCTTTTTTCCTAAGTTTTGACCTTTGTGTATACATTTATTTGGGTAATACACACAATGACTTATTTTAATAGTATAAAGCGTTATATAAAGTAGGACAGGTAAGTCTCTTCCCCCAACAATGCCCCCCTGCCCCGTTGCCCTCTGCTGGTTTGTGTTAATTTCTAGAGACATAATGCTTAGCTACTGTCTACATCTAACAAAACAAAATCATTTCTATCAAAAAAAAATCTGAAATCATTTCCCTTCATTTTGCTTCTTCTCAATCATTTTAATTCACTCCCAACTGGTATGAGTGCCTTCTCTGAGCCTGATGCTGGTAGATATTTGAGGGAAAAGTTCTACAGCTCAGGCTGCCTGCTATAGGCAGAGCATCGCACACCGTACCACACACAGCTCACCACAGTTGGCTCACACTGTCTCTGTCATGCTCCAGAGGACATGTCTTTGAGGGTTCCTTTCAGTGAAAGTTTCTGTTAAATATCCCTTGAATAAAATGAGCAACACTTTGGACACATCAAGTGTATCCAGATTTAGTTCAGGTTTTTGCCATTAGACTCTAACCTGGTTTCCAGAATGTTGACTCCTGAATCCTACTAGATCCCTTTCGAGTTCTGGAACCTGCCTGGTACTTGCAGAGAACTTTGGTCCCTCCTCTCATCTCCCGTCACATCCATTGAGCACTTGAAGAGGTATGCATGGCTGGCTCTGCATGTGCATGTATCTTGCTACAGTTTTTTTTTTTAAGATTTTATTTACTTATTTGACACAGAGAGAGAGACAGCGAGAGAGGGAACAGACGCAGGGGGAGTGGAAGAGGGAGAAGCAGGCTTCTCGCGGAGCAGGGAGCCTGATGTGGGGACTCGATCCCAGGACCCTGGGATCATGACCTGAGCCGAAGGCAGACGCTTAACGACTGAGCCACCCAGGCACCCCATCTTGCTACAGTTTTAGGGACCTTTGATTCCATACAGCAGGGCCACAGAAAATTATCAATTAATTCAGTACAGCAAGGAGGGCAAATCATTATTCCCATAAAAAGTTTCCTTTAATTAAACAGAGACTGTGATTACTCTGTCATTCCTTTCGTTTGATCTAGATTGAATCTGCTTGCATGCTCCTGTATCCTCAGTGTAACTGTGACACATTCTTCTAAAGTCGAAGACCTTGTCTTTTTCAATACCCATCCCCCCTCTCTCCATAGAATCCCCTGTGTAGGTGCACATGAAGGGGCCCTCATTTGAATCGTAGCTAATTGATCAACTATGGATTGTGATCCATCTTGTCACAAACCTAATCTTTAAAATCATTCCAGTGGCCTCATGTTGCCAAGGAGTTCCCAACTAGCTTGATCTGCTACTGAGTGGAAATTTCAGCTCCACAGAAAGGAATCACCAACTGATACCAAACTGGTACCTCTGAAGCTCCCAGCAAACATGCTGGATGGATGGATGCATGCGTGCATGGATGCATGGATGGTTCATGCCCTTGGTCAGACCCATCAAGACAACATACCTGGACAGTTTGTCTTTAGTACCTTTTTCCTGAGAAGTTTTATAAGACCAGAATATTAGAAGCTCAGAGTTGGAAAGAGCCCCTGAGTTCATCTATTCCAATCCTTGGTCTGATACAGGAATCTTCTTTATAACCTCCATTGTTAGCCCTGTCCAAAGTTTATGAGCCCATACTTAGTATCAATGACGTATCTAACTTTTCTCCTCTCCACTTCCTTGCCTTTCGGTTCTGTACATTTTTGGATTCTTTGGCTAGGACAAAGTGAGAGTGGCTGCTATTGTGGGAAAAGAGATTGTAGTTAAGACAAATTATTTGTGTTGGGAGAAACAAGTAAATGCTAATTAAGGGAGTGGCAGAATCTTCTCCCCGGGTTTAAACACATACAGGCGCGTGCGTGCACACACACACAGACAAATAAGTGGATTCTGGGCAAGAAGCTAGGAGGCTGGATTGGCACTCTGGTCTAGCCCAAGGCCTCCCCAGGTCCCTTGGGGGTGGGTGGACAGAGGAGCTCCCCATCCTTCCCAGCCTGAATGAAGCCCCTACTCACTGTAGATGGTCTGATGGGGTGTGCCATCCACATGGCCGTCCTTGTGGATCTGCAGGTGGTAGCTGTTCCTGCCAGTGGCCGTGTACAGGTGGGTCAGGCCACCCCAGCTGGAGCCGAGCAGCGGGGAGGTGTTGGGATAGGCTCTGACTACCCAGCACAGGATAGAGACCAGGAGCCCAAGGCGGGTCCCCGACATCGCAGTGCTCTGAATGGCTGGCTGGGTTTGAAACCTGACACTGGCTCCCTGAGCCCCCTGGCTGTGCCTCGCAGGCCTTTTTCTCCTCTTCTTTGTGGGTATCTGGCGTGAGGATCCTAGGCTGAATTCCCTCCTTTTTTCCCTCGGACTTTTAAAGGGTAGCCGTGTGACATCAAACAGGAAAAACTCCGCTGTCCACATCCTCTGTGTTGTAACCAGCCCATTGGAAGAGAACGCAGAGCCCTCTGAGGCGCACGGAAGGCACGTCGTTCCAGACACACACACACCCCTCAATTTCAGTCCAGCGCTCCAAAAAGTGAGTGATGTGTGGGCAAAAGTTATCTACGACTCTGGGTTGTCTGATGACCTGTCCCACTTCCACCAGGAAATGTGAAGGCAGCCAGCAGTTCCAAAAAAAAAAAAAAGTCCAGCTCTAGTCATGCATTCGACAGACTCCTGTGCAATTAATCTCCCATTGAGTCTACTCATTTTGGTTTTCTCTATCCTTTTAATTCCAATCAGCAACTGTGCATCCGGTGCTTTCTCTGTGCACAGCACCAAGTGGGTGTCTTGAAGGTACAGAAATAATACAGGACACCATCGGGCAGAGAGCACCCTCTGAGATCCCTCTTTCATGAAGACATGGGAGCTGGAAATAGAGGTCCAAAAGCCAAAGTTGCCACCTTGGGAAAATTTCAAAATAGGAAGAAAGGAAGCCAGGCCTTGAGGTCACTGCTGCTTTATGAAATTCTGAGGTTTGATTTCTCAGTTTTCCTAGTTTGGACTGCCTAAGGGCAACTAAACCAATATTATGGTTTCTCCAACCGTATGGAGACTAACTCAGAGACTTCATGAAGATAGGAAGGCTGGTGGCTGAGCACAGGGGATCAGAACCCGGGAAGGTCCCGGGGCAGAGGGACAGGCCAGGGTGTCCCCACAGTTAGTGTCTCCTGGGTGCCTGGTTCCTGGGACTGGACACTTCCTTGCAGACCCTGCTCACAGGTATGCCATCTGGGAAGCTACATTTGATGTGGCGTGGAAGTGCCAGTACCTTCCGTCCAATGGGGAGCAAGCTACTGCAATGCATACCAGAAAAATATACACACAAGGACACTGCTCCTCTTCCAATTTTCCGCTTACTGAGTGCATGCAGACATCAGGCTAGACATCGTGGTTGATAGAAGAGAGAGCTGGGTGTGATCTCTGCTTCAGGGAGGTCACAAGCTAACGGAGGAGGCAGAAACAATAAGTACCCATTGCACAAAGCATAATGGGATGTACAATCATACAGGTGCAGGCAAAAGATGCCATTTGTTATCCTACATTTGTGCAAGTTTTTATAGCTCATAAAGCATTTCATAACGCTAATTTTTACATATCTTAGCTCATTTGAATCTCACTGCAACCCTGTGAGTTAGTCACACCGGGCATTATCAATATTTTGATTTTATATATGAAGAAATGGCAATCATGGGTTCATATGTCCAAAGTCACAAAGCAGTTAAGTAGGAGAGCTAGGACAAGTTCTCCTGGTTCCCTGGGCTGCTTCTCCACTAGTAATCACAGCGACAACTAACCCTTACTGAGAGCTTTACTTGTAGTAACTCCTTTCATCGTCACAATAACCATTTGAGGAGATGCAGCTACCTCCTTTACACAGATGAGGGAACCGATGCACACGGTTTAAGTAACATGCCCCAAGATGTGCAGCCAATACAGGGATTGACGTTGATTTGAATCTGGGCAGTCCGGCCCTTAGACCGCCTACGGACTTCGCTAGATGTACAAACCCACACAACATGTTAGGGCAAAAGAGATGGGAGCCAGGAATTCGGTAAGAGAGTGCAAGTAGCAACAAGACATAGTAGTCTCCAGTGTTTCTCTAAAACACAGGCCTTTACCCAGGATGTGCCTCTAAGATATGCGGTGCTGTCTCCCCAGGTTAGGTAGATGATCTAGGACGTATGAGACAGTCTTCTTTAATAATGGTCACAGAATGACCCATAAATCTAGTACCACATCTTAGCATTCAGAATTGAAATACAAATCATCCCAGAACATTTGCCAGTTGATAACCCCACATTTCCTTTTCCGGTTGCAAAAGGTAGAGATGGAAAGTACCTGTGAAACAATTAGCAGGTATCAAGAAACTTCTCTGTGCAAGAGAGAAGAGAGGAAGGAGTTCCAGGAATGAAAAGCAGAACAAACATCCTTGAAGGGCTTATACTATAACTGAGCAGAAGAAAACCTTGTTCAATACAAAGCATTGTGTGAGAAGTGCTACATTCCTAGGATGTGCAAGAAATGCTAACAGTGGGGCGCCTGGGTGGCTCAGTTGGTTAAGCATCCGTCTTCAGCTCAGGTCATGATCTCAGGGGCCTGGGATTGAGTCCCGCATCAGGCTCCCTGCTCAGTGGGGAGCCTGCTTCTCCCTCTCCCTCCGCTCCTCCCCCCTGCTCCTTCTCTCTCTCTCAAATATATAAATAAAATCTTTTTAAAAAAGAAATGGTAATGGCATTCAGAAGAGCATGAGAGCACAGTGGGTGGACGCTGTGGTCAAGGAGGGATTTGAGGGAAGTGAGACTAGAGGGGGCCTTATAGGATGGACAGGGAAGGGCACTCCCTAGCACCTGCCAGAGCACAGTGGGAAGGCAGTGCAGGTGTCTCAGGAAGAGTACGTGGTTATTCACTCATTCCTGTGGTGACTGGAGGGGGATCTTCCTTGGCTGCTTCAGCTTATGTTATTAGGAAAGAGAATTGATGGGCCAGCTTAATCCACTTCCAGACCTCCCTCCAAGAAGAAGCCCTGAACACCTAGCAACTGGATCCTAAGGCAGAGGACAGTCCAGGACAGCAGGTTTACTTCTGAGGGGAATGGGTACAGGGCAGGGAGAAGAAGTATTACCCACCTGGCGAAAGCAAAGGAGAGTACAGAATCTCAGAATAATTCTTTCCACTGATATATGGAAAAGTTGAGAGTGGAGGAGAGGATTTACCCATTAGCATGCACAGGAGATGGAGCTACCTTCAAGCTGACTAAATTCCCTACCAGTGGATTCCAAACCTGGCTTCCCATTAGAATCACCAGAACTACCCAGCACTAACCTTAGACCTACTGAATGTGCAGCCTAACTATTTGCACTTTCCTCCAAAGCCACCTGGGAGATCCCACCACCCACCTTGATACTGATGACACTGAACAACTTTTCAAGAAACAAGAGGTTGTAAAGAAGATACCTGTATCAGACCAAGGACTAGAATAAATGAACTCGGGGGCTCTTTCCAACTCTGAGCTTCTAATATTCTGGTCTTATAAAACTTCTCAGGAAAAATGTACTGAAGACAAACTGTCCAGGTACGTTGTCTTGATGCATCTGACCAAGTGCATGAACCATCCATGCATCCATGCACCCATGCATCTATCCATCCAACATGTTTACTGGGGGCTTCAGAGATACCCAGTTTGGTATCAGTTGGTGATTCCTGTCTGTGGAGCTGAAATTTCCACTCAGTAGTAGATGGAGCTAGTTGGAAACTCCTTGGCAACACGAGGATACTGGAATGATTTTGTTTGTTTGTTTGTTTGTTTGTTTGTTTGTTTATTTATTTATTTATTTATTTATTTTAAAAAAGATTGTACTTATTTGAGAGAGAGAGCACACACATATAAGCAGGGGTGCAGGGCAGAGGGAGAAGGAGAGGGAGAAGCAGACTCCCCACTGAGCAGGGATCCCAATGCGGGGCTCGATCCCAGGACCCCAAGATCATGACCTGAGCCAAAGGCAGACACTCAACTGTTTGAGCCACCCAGGTGCCCCAGGAATGATTTTAAGGATTAGGTTTGTGACAAGAAGGGTCACAATCCACAGTTGATCAATTAGCTACGATTCAAATGAGGGCCCCTTCATGTGCACCTACACAGGGGATTCTATGGAGAGAGGGGGAATGAGTATTGAAAAAGACAAGGTCTTCTACTTTAGAAGAATGTGTCAAAGTTACACTGAGGATACAGAAGCATGCAAGCAGATTCAATCTAGATCAAATGAAAGGAATGACAGAGTAATCACAGTCTCTGTTTAATTAAAGGAAACTTATGGGAATAATGGTTTGCCCTCCTTGTTGTACTGAAGTAATTGATAATTTTCTGTGGCCCTGGTGTGTGGAATCAAAGGTCCCTAAAACTGTAGCAAGATACATGCACATGCAGAGCCAGCCATGCATACCTCTTCAAGTGCTCAATGGATGTGACGGGAGATGAGAGGAGGGACCAAAGTTCTCTGCAAGTACCAGGCAGGTTCCAGAACTCAAGGGATCTAGTAGGATTCAGGAGTCAACATTCTGGAAACTAGGTTGGAGTCTAATGGCAAAAACCTGAACTAAATCTGGATACACTTGATGCATCCAAAGCGTCGCTCTGAGTCCCAACAATGCACTGGAATTAGTACACAGAGAACAAGCCCCCCTTCAGTGGACTTCTCAATTTTCCACTTCCTTTCAGGATTTCCAACCTAACTGTGCAGTCTAAGATGTAAATGGGTCTTTCTAGGGGATTTAGTAATGAACACTAAATCAATACACTGTGCTCCTGAGCAGCCTTTACCTAGAGCCTGGTGTGTGTGGCATCTCCTTAGAAGCTTCAGAGGGTGAGGGGAGAGTCCAGGGTAAGTTGGTTCCTGCCTTTTGCACCTAGAGGGGATCAAGGTGAATGGAAAAACAGGAGCTGGGCCCCAGGGTGGCTCACTGTTTTCTTTTTCTTTTTCTTTTTTTTTTGACACTCTGTCTAAAAGATCCATCTACAGATGGTAGGATCACAGACCCATGCTCCCTCGTTATTCCTGCCTCTTCATGAGTTTGTCTCCATCATTGTGGTAATAGTTTCACCATCTTCTCTCCCTGGGCTCAGGCAGCTGGATTTCTAAGCCATCCTGGACAAATAGTGGTTTCTTCTCTCTCAAAATTGTCTGGGGGAGGTGCTGCAGCCTTCCTGAAAATGCCATTCCCAGATCTTGTTTTCCTGACAGTTAAAACGTGCTTTCTTAGAAGCTTGAGAGGGCGAGGGGAGAGCCTCGGGTAAGTCAGTTCCTGTTCTTTGCACCTAGAGGGTGCAGAT